GCCCCCCCCGCTCGCAACACAGATTGGGCAGATCATCTGGGCGTGGTCATTTCAAAAGTAGCTCCCAAGCTGAAAAAGTGCGGACACCCCTCCCGTAGAGGGTATTGCAGTAGTCGTGATGTGATGAATGCATGAATCAGGGCTTCAGCAGAGAGAGGAGGAGAGTGATGGGCGGAGACGGGCAGTGTGTTTGAGGTGGAGAAAGGCCGTCCTGGTGATGTGATTTATGTGGTGGTTGAATTTGAGCTGACTGTCGAAGATGAATCCGAGGTTGCGGATGTGAGGGGGGGAGATAGAGTGTGGCTGTCAATGGTGAAGTTGAAATTCTGGATTGCTTTGGTACGGGATGGGGGGATGATGATGATGATGATGATGATGATGATGATGATGATGTCTGATTTGGCACTCTTCAGTTGGAGATAGTTTGTTTGCATCCATGCTTTTATTTAGAGTAGTAACATAGCATGGTAAATGAACGAGTAAAGACGGTCTTCCTGGTTGAACTTGCGCTGAGCTCCATTAGTATGATATATTTATAAAATATAGCAACTGTTGATTATTATTTTATTCTATTTTCTTTTTTTTATAGAAAAAGTTTTTTTTTTTTATCTGTATTTATTAATTCATATATTAATTTATTTCTATATTATTTTGTCTTTTTTTGCGTCCCAAACTCATTGTATTAAATTAAAGTTAAACAGAAAATAATTAGGTTTGGGGAAATAAATAAAGACAAAAATCTGTTTTAATGCAAATTAAATAAATGGGCCAATCAAAATAAGTGCATCCGTAATTAATTTCCATTTTTAACATTTCAAAAAACAATGTTTTGTTCCCTTCAGGAGGATTTCCCTACGAGCTGACCGAAGGAGACATCATCTGCGTCTTCTCTCAGTACGTTCAGGGAAACCTTTATTTAAACGTTATGGTTGTTTAGTTATTATAAATGAATAGAGTTCACCTGTGTGTCTCAGGTACGGAGAGATCGTGAACATTAATCTGGTTCGGGACCAGAAGACGGGGAAATCCAAAGGTTTCTGCTTCATCTGCTTCGAGGACCAGAGGAGCACCATCCTCGCTGTGGACAACTTCAACGGCATCAAGGTGAAGACACGTCATTTAAAGAGGCCCTGTTCTTCTTCTGTGGTGTTCTGCTCTCCTGTAGTTCTATAGGCTTTAGTGCATGTCTGCAAAGGGTCAAACCAAGCAAAATTACAATTCTGAAAATAATCAGATTCTAAAAGAATGTCAAAAAGATTCTGAGAAAATCATAATTTCCGAAATAAACTCAACATTTTGAGTTTATTTCGGAAATTGTGAAAATTCTGAGAAAGTCCAAAACATTTTAAGAAAAATTAAAAATGCCGAAATAAAGTAAAATTCAGAAAAAAAGTAAAAATTGTGGAATGAACTCAAAATTCTGAGAACAAGTGAAAATTCTGAAAAGTCCAAAACATTCTGAAAAACCTCACATTTTCAAAGAATGTCAAAACTCTGGAAAAAAATGTTAAGTTCTGAAAAAAATCTAAATTCTGAGAAAAAGTCAAAATTCTTAAAAAAAAATGTCAAAACTTGTAATTTTCTTGGGGGGGAAAGTCAGAATTCTAAGAAGGGAAAAACATTTCTGAACAAAGTAACAAATCTGTGAATCGCTCGGTTCCCCCTCACTGTTCCCTTCCGACGTTGTGTTTCAGATCAAAGGGCGTACAATCCGCGTCGACCACGTGAAAGACTACCGGCCCCCCAAAGACTCGGAGGACATGGACGACATCACCAAGAGTCTGAGGGAGCAAGGCTGCGCGCCCACATTAGTGGAGGTCCCCCCCCCCTCCTCTTCTTCAGAGGAAGAGGAAGAGGAGCAGTACCACATCCCTGTGAAGAAGGCTAAGAAAGGTCAGTGAGGTCACTTCCTGTCGACCCTGAAACAGGAAGTATGAGCAGGGGCGACGTATTTCTGAAGTGAAACCTGAAGGTAGCATCTCCCTGGTGTTTAACGCTGACTCATGTCAGGGATTAAGGACTCATAACGCTGACTCAGGTCAGGGATTAAGGACTCATAACGCTGACTCGTTTCAGGGATTAAGGACTCATGACGCTGACTCGTTTCAGGGATTAAGGACTCATAACGCTGACTCGTTTCAGGGATTAAGGACTCATAACGCTGACTCGTTTCAGGGATTAAGGACTCATAACGCTGACTCGTCTCAGGGATTAAGGACTCATAACGCTGACTCGTCTCAGGGATTAAGGACTCATAACGCTGACTCGTTTCAGGGATTAAGGACTCATAACGCTGACTCGTCTCAGGGATTAAGGACTCATAACGCTGACTCGTTTCAGGGATTAAGGACTCATAACGCTGACTCGTCTCAGGGATTAAGGACTCATAACGCTGACTCAGGTCAGGGATTAAGGACTCATAACGCTGACTCGTCTCAGGGATTAAGGACTCATAACGCTGAGTCGTTTCAGGGATTAAGGACTCATAACGCTGACTCAGGTCAGGGATTAAGGACTCATAACGCTGACTCACTTCAGGGATTAAGGACTCATAACGCTGACTCATTTCTGAGTTGTAAAGTCGCATTCACACCTAATAGTCCGTTCTCTGGTGCGCACCAGACGACAGTTTGTTACATTGTTTCATTTTCCAGAAGGTTCGGTTTGCGTTCACAAAACTCAAACGGACTATAAACTTTAAACACAAGTCATGTGCACGGAAATGCTGTTCAACCATTGGTCAGACATTAAGGGGGTAAAAACGCAAATCCCGGCAATTTCTACAGCCTCCGCCATGGAGCATCGGCAGGTTATTCTCATGCTGCTGTTAATCTGGAGATCAACAGACACTAGCGGCCCGCGCATATGATTATATAATCAGACAACGTCCGTTAAAAAACATAACACATATGACGTTCTGCAGTAAGGAGGGCGTTTCACCGACGACAGGTGTTCTTACTTTTATGTATCGTTTTTTATTTGATAGTTGTTTTTACTTTACACGACATTGTTCAACACTTCATTCTGCTTCACTCTTTAACTAAACAACCGCGGATGTCTTCGCCAAAGATTTTGAAGATGTCCGCGTTCTTGTGACACGTAAATACTACTCTTCCTATGTTTTGGCGCTCCGAGACCACCTATTTTAGTGGACCAGAGTCCGGTTGTTTAGTTCACTTAAGAGGTCTCGGATTGTGTTCACACAATGAATGCACCCTAAATCTCCTATGCTGACTAATTTGAGGGTTTTCAGATTTATATTGCTGACTAATTTCTAAGTATCAGGAATCTTTTCTAAATGTAATGTCTCTGAACGCTGACTCATTTCTGAGTTTTAAGTTTCCTAACGCTCTCAAATGTCAGGGCTTGAAACTCATAATGCTGACTCATTCTCGGGATTGATTTTCATATCTCTGCTTTCCAGAAAAGAAAGAGAAAAAGAAGAAGAAGAAAGAGAAGAAGGAGAAAAAGGAGAAGAAAGACAAGAAGAAGAGGCTCTCCCCCTCTTCCTCTTCCTCTTCCTCACCTCCTCCCGCCGCCATCAGAGTCAAAGAAGAGAGAGAGGACGCCGCCTACGAGAAATACAACCAGAGAGAGGGCGAGAGAAAGAGAGAGGGTGAAAGAGAGAGGGAGAGAAGGGGGGAGGGCGAGAGAGAGAGGGAGGGGGAGAGACAGAGAGAGGGTGAGAGAGAGAGAAGGGGGGAGGGGGAGAGAGAGAGGGAGGGGGAGCGAGAGAGGGAGAGAAGGGGGGAGGTTGAGAGAAAAAGAGAGGGAGAGAGAAAGCGAGAGGGAGAAAGAGAGGGAGACAGGAGGAGGGAGGGCGAGAGAGACCACAAGATGAAAAGGGAGTTTGACTGCGACCGAGAAAACGACAGAAGAAGAGAAACGGAGAGAGAGAGGGAGGGAGATAGGAGGAGGGAGGGCGAGAGACAGGGAGACAGGGAGAATGAGAGAAGAAGAGAGGGAGACAGGGAGAGAGAGAACGAGAGAAGAAGAGAGGACAGACGTAAACACTGAAGTGGAGATGGAGAAAAGTAGGGAGGCCTGGAGGGGCTGTTGTTACTTGTGGAAGAGTGTCGCCCTCTAGAGGCTGCAGTGTGCATTACACCCAGATCACTGATTTCTGATTTCCTCTGAGCTTCAGTCACACAATTAAAGTTAAATGTTGTATTCTTTCAGTTTTTGTAATAAAAGAAAAAAAAACGTCTTCACCTGTGGTGTTTTTATGAATCAGGTTTTAAATGATTCATATTTAAAGGTCACCTATCGTGCTATTTAGGCAATAGCAGATATATAAAAATATATAAAAAACATGTCTATGAAGTGTTTTGCTCAAAATACCAAACAGATCACCCATTCTAGCCATGCGTCATATCCCTCTATTTCACTTCCTGTTTCAAACGTGCTGATTTGGGGATAAAGCTTTAAAAAAAGAAAAAAATGATGGCAAAGGAGGGGGCTGAGCTCATGCGAACCCGGCAGCTACTGTCTAAACCAGTGGTTCTCAACAGGTGGGTCGCGGACCTGTTTCAAGTGGGTAGTGAAGAAAAAAAATGTATTCTTTTTTTTTTGAAGAAGAAGAAAGTCAAACTTTTATTTTGAAGGCCCGATTTTCTAACGCTGTGCATGCAGTAGGCGTTGGACTGGAAGTACCGGAGACCATAAACGGTTTTGAAAACTTCTGTCACCACCAGGTCACAGAACAATGAGGGCTATCTACCCTTACCCACAATTTAAAGTAATTCACAAAGACTCTCTCCTCTTTGCTCTTCTCTCTGTGTGGAGCAGCAAGCTGTCAGAACAAAGTGAAAAACAAACAATGGCATCAAATATTATTAATATGTCGGGTAGTAATAGATTTATTTATTTTCTTCTCAGAGTGTACCAGAATGCGATCGATTTATGTTAGTATTTTCTAAATCTACTGGGGGGATCCCCGGACCCCCCTTTCTTGGGTTGGGTTTTCCGATGTGGCCTTTATATAGTTGCTTTGTTCCATATCTCAATTAACTAGGGCTGTCAAACGATTACATTTTTAATCCGAATAATCACGTTTAAATTATGATCGTTATCACCATTCGAACTATGTCAATATGCCATGCTATTTATGTATATGTTGTGGGAATGGGAAAGATAATGAAAAGAAGGCGGATATTCCATTTAATCAGTTATTATATGTATGTTTAATTATAACATGTTCTGTGTGTCAATGAAAGGCTGCCCCACACCCTGATCAATCATCAACCGTGGGGTCTTATTCATACGTGTTGACTTCTATCAACGTCAATGTTGTTCGATGTTAGAGATGTACTCAGCAAAGTATCTTCGTCGGGTTTTCCTGCCAACCCACGCCGTTATCTTGGATTCTGATTGCCGAGACATTATCAAAAGCTGTTCTTTGACGAAATTTGTCACTCGACAAAAACGTTTTCAAACCGTTTCTTGTCGCGGGGATATTTTTCGACGAGGGCTTCGAAGTCGCGTACATTCGTAAACATGCGTGGTCTGTGCAATTTACTCGACGCTCTAGGGGTTGGTGGGAAGGGGCGAAATGGGAAGAGGGCGGAAGATGGACTTTTTTGGGCCTTAATATGTCGACCTCATTTGTCATGGTGGCGTGGTCAGAAGGGGCACAATTGGCAAGGAGGATTGGCTAGAATGGGAATTGGAAGAAAATGGAAGCAATTGGAAGGGGTGTAGCGGCCGAATACCCGCGAAGACAAGGAGGTCACTGGCGCATTGTTACTGATGAGTGAGGTATGGGCGGCAGTCGATGCTTCAGTCGGATTCAATGCTTAATGGTTTGCGTAAACCGTGGGATGGGATCGAAAATGAGGAATTACGGCCGATACACAGCAGGAAAGAAGTATATATGGCATTATTACCATTAAAGCCTTTCTTATCTAGGAGCAGGCCGGTGCATTTGTCTGAGAGAGGGCGCTAGGATATAGATGGGACTGTATATCACTATAGGATTAAGACAGTGATATGCATGAAGACGCAGATGCAAATGGGAATGAGGTAGTAAATGTTAACAGCAAATTTCGTTGATTGCTGATTGAAGTGGTTTGAAATGTTGAGAATTTGGTCGCGGGCGCGACTTGTGACCGGTGTAGGGACCGGCTAGAAACTCGTGACTAAGAAGTCTGCGCCGGTGATGTTTAGCGCAAGGGTCCATGGGAAATATGGAAAGGCGAAGTGCAATGTGGCGAGCGAGATTTATCTCGTGAACCAGAAGAGGAGCGCAAAGGGATATATACTCATATCGGTGCGAGATATTACCACAAGGTGAGTTCCTTTTATTTTCTGCTTCTTGCGAAACACAGGTGCTCTCGCAGTCACGGTTAGTACTGAGTGTTAGCGGTCGCATAAGAGTGGAAAATCTGTCCAATAATGCGTGCCAGCGGGCGTTGATATATGAGTCGGACAAGGCTATATAGTTGAGTCAGGGCCGTGGGTCACAAATCTCGGGGTTTAATCGGTAGTTCGACGGCAATAATAGATCAGGGCTCCGATATAGTTGCGCGCCCAGATTCTTTAGAGGAGTCTCGGGAGGGTGAGAGGAAGCGAAAAGTGTATTGTATGGTGGTTTATACAGGCGGCGTGAGTTCCCCGAAAATCTTGCTAATATAGGCTCCTCCGCAGATGGGTTGATATAGAATGAGTTTGAGAGGTGCAATGGTCGGCATTGGAAAGGGCGAAACGGGAAGGGCAATTGGGAAAGTCGCGCAGTGCAGCTTGGCAGAACGGAATAACGCGTCTCGTCGTGTTCCGAATCTGTACCCAAATCTCTAACAACGGGGAAACAACCGGAGCTGAGTCCAGGTATAGAGTCGATATGACGATGAGATATCTGGAAACTGGTGGAGCCCACGGCCCTAATCAGAGAAATTGATATCAGGGAGTTCGAGCAATGACCGTGTTGTGGGACGTCATATGGTCGGTGTTTCATTGCATCGGCGAGAATCTTCAGGCGATAAACGTGTACGGGAAGATGTAAGTGTGAGGAAGAAGCAGGGACATAAAGGACTCACCTTGGCGATACCGGAAAGAGAGAAACGCACTTTGAGACACGGATCATGTTTCGCGATATGAAAGTGGCGTTAATGGTATATCCCAAGTTGGCTATAAGGTTTTGCATACAGCGAAATGGAATTGAGTTTGCTACGCTTTAGATGTCGCAGTGGGCTCACGGGTCGGCCTCGGGACCCACATTTCAACCCACTCGCATCCGACATATTTCGAAGCAGAAAAGGTTGTGCGTGTGTGTTATATTACGTTTTCAGCATACTTATTAATTAAAAGTGAGTCGTGCGATCTTCCCTATTCCCTTCCGAACTAAAGGTCACGCTTTGGAAAAAAGGTTTAATGTAATGCTTCAACTTATCGGTTTAACGGCCTAATGGAAAGGGGCGGTAATTCCATTTTTTGATTTATTACGTAAAAATATTTAACGCATTTAACGCATGTGACGTGAGCTGGCAATGGCCGCCCATTTACCCCAAGTGGCAGCGCCAGGGTCGAATGCATGTGGTTAGGCGACACCGATACAGAAAGTCGCGACATTGTGGAAAGCGGCCACGGCGAAAATGGAGTAGAAATTAGGCATAATTACGGGCCCACCTTTGCGCCGGTAGCGAAATGTGACGGAGTCAGCTCTAGTGAGTGTGATATTTACAGAGGCTTGTCTGAGGAAATCCGCGGCCCATAAGAATGGGCGGTTTTTGAAGCCTTGTTATAGTTGGTGATCGATTTGGCGGTTGAAAATGGAGATACATTGGGGATAATCTCCTTCTGGCAGATCACAATTCAGACGTAACGGGCGAATCGTGGGAAGTGTTGTGGCAAGTGGAAAACCGGGAGCGGGAGCAGATTGATAGCTTATATGTTTTGGTGTGTACATCTCTATACATCAGAAGAGTACGTAGACGTGTTGGTAGAGAGAACGACCAAGATATAAGATGACATGACAGAGTGCCCCGCGAATGGAAGGAAAGGGAAAGGGGCGAAGTCAACACGATGAATAATGACGGTTTCATGATTGATAGGTGTGTGGGCTGCTTTCTTTTGACAACAGGACAATGTTAGATAAAGCACAATGCGATACTGTATAGAGAAAGAGTGGTATATGCTCGGGACTTCTTTCTATAATGATCGCTCTCGAATTCCCACAGTGGCAATGGAGCAAATAATTTGGGAAGTATACATAAATAAATGGCATCTTTTGGGACAGATAGTGCGAATGGTGATTTATCTGAATTCATTATTTTTACAAACGTGATTTCTGAATTAAAATTGTAATCGTTTGACGAGCGTGAGTTGCTGAAGATGATAGACTCAGAGAGATATTATGGAGCAGACTTGTCTGAATAAGGAAAGGCTCCCACAGTGAAAAACCCAACCCCAAGAAAGGGGGGTGGGGGGGAGTCTCCCCCAGTAGATTTTTCTAGTAATACTAACATTAACCTACGCTCTGTCACTCTGAGAGAAAATATAATTTTCTACCAGACATATTAATACTATTTGTGCCCTTGTTTGTTTTTCCTTTGTTCTGACAGCTTGCTGCCTCCACACAGACCGGAAGAGCAAAAAGATGGAGAGAGTCTGTGTGATTACTTTAAATTGTGGGTAAGGTGATGCCCCATTGTTCTGTGACTGGTGGGACGACGTTTTCACACCGTTTAATGGGTCTCCGGTTTCAGTCCAAGCCTACTGCCTGCACAGCACGTTAGGCACAACTGGCCTTCAAAATTAAGTTGCTTTTTTCACAAAAAGATACATTTTTTTCTTCACTACCCACTTGAACAGGTCCGCGACTCCACCGTTGAGCCACTGGTTTCGCGTAGCTGCCGGGTTCACAATGGCTTCGCCCCTCCTTTGCCATCATTTTTTTCTTTTTTTAAAGCTTTATCCCCAAATCGCAGACCGGGACACCGAGCCTTGACAAGGAAAGTGAAATAGCATGGATAATGAACGCATGGTAGGAATGGGTGCTCTGTTTGGTATTTTGGAGCAACACTCATGAATGTTTTTTATATTTTTTTTATATAAATCTGCTATTGCCTAAACAAATTTAGCACGATAGGTGACTTCTAAATATGTCTTTAAACCTGATTCATAAAACCCCAGTGTGAGAACATTTTTTTTCTTTTATTACAACTGAGAATCCAACTTTAACTTTTAATTGTGTGACTGAAGCGAGAGGATCGGAAATCGTGTCTCGCGTGTAGATGCACCTGCGCCTCGTAGAGGGCGCACTCTTCCACAAGGTAACAGCAACAGCCCTCAGGCCCTCCCTACTTTTCTCATTCCCTTCAGTATTTACGTCTGTCCTTTTCTTCTCTCGTTCTCTCTCTCCCTGTCTCCCTCTTTCTCTCTCCATTCTCCTGTTCACTGTCTCTACGCACGCGCCCTCACATGGATAGGGGCTCCCGACTCATTCTCATCATGCGTTCTCGATATGGTTATACATGATAGCGTGTTTTCGCTCATGGGCGAGATAAGGACCTACCCTTTTCGGTCTTGTGAATCTCTACGCCAATCCACGCTCCTCACGCTTCTGTGTAATACTTCCTTTTCTTAACTCTATGTTTCTTTCCTCTCGCTTTCGTTCCGAGTGTTTCTTCTTCCTCACTTTGTATGTCGCCACTCACTCGCTCTCCTCCCCGCCCCGTTCGAGGCGACTGTCTCACGCTCCTCTCTCAGCCTGAGTTCTCTGGCAGCGTCCTCGCCCCCTCACCTTGTCTCTCTCGGTTCCTCGTGGCCGCCAGCCCAGCGCGTCTGCAACACGGCGAGAACATGTACATTCATTAAGAGCGACTCCTGAACCACATAGACACTAGGCTCCATTACAATATTGAACCTATAAAAAGTAACTACCACGAGTGCCGTCTCTTCTCCACCCTCTCTCTAACAAATGTCGCTGCTCCGCTTCTCTCTATGTCCCGTCGTCATACCCCCTTTCTTCTCCTCTCTTCTTTTCCTCTTCTTTTCTTCGCCCTTCATCTGTTTATATTCTTACGTATTGCGGTTGGCAGGACTTGTTCGCTCTCGTCTGCCTCCTTTAGAACTCTTCGTAATTTAAAACATGGAACTCTATATAGTTTACCGCCGCGTGGCAACTGGTTGGAGTTTATGTCGCAGAGGCGATGAGGCAATAGAGAAGGGTAAAGACGGAGAGATAGACTACTTCTTCGTATGCTCTCTCTTCTCCTATATATGTCCGTCTTTCTCATTTCTTTTCTTCTTTTTCTCTTATTCTCTTTCTGGATAGACGGAGAAAGACTACTGAAAAACATGCCAATTCCACTCGAAGTTCCCGATGAAGTACGCGCATTAGATGAGTCTCGGTCGCGCAGCGCTCACTTCGTTGATGAGCGTGTAGGCACTTAATGAGATCTCCGAGAGAATGCTAGTCGCAGTGCTTCCAGCCCACGCACTTATCATGCATTCGTATAAGGAATCTTCCTGATACTTAGATTAGCCCGAACTATGAAATTGAGCATACAGGGCGTTTAGAAAAAAAAAGGAATGTCCAAGCCATGCCTCATAATGAGAATCTGATCCGAGCATGTGAGGTCAACAATCAGCTTAGACGATGGGAATACTAAAATAGGGTTGATTAAGCGATGGGTAGCCCTAAGGAGCGGCTTTCTCGTACAAGACAGACACGGGTATCAAGATCGACAACGCATGGTGAGACAAGACGTATTCGAGAGCCGCTTGGTGCGGTTCCATTTGGGTCGGTGTGACACATCCGGACTTTCGTGAAAAACTACAACCGGACTCTGGTCCGCTAAAATAGGTGTCTCGAGCGCCAACATAGAAGGTATATTTACGTGTCACAAGACGCGGACATCTTCATCTTTGTGCGAGGACATCCGCGGTTGTTTAGTAGAGTGAGCAGAATGAGTGTTGGGACAAGTCGTGTAGTACACAAGCTTCAATAAAAAACGACATAACAAGTAAGAACGCTGTGTCGGTGGTGGAACGCCCTCCTTACTGCAAGACTCATATGTGTAGTTTTTTAACGGACGTTGTCGATTTATATCATATGCGGCGGCCGCTAGGTCTGTTGATCTCCAGATTACAGCAGCATGAGATACCTGCCGATGCTCCATGCGGAGTCGGTAGAATTGCCGGGGATTTGCGTTTTTCCCCCTTAATGTCTGACCATGGTTGAACGCATTTTCCGAGCACATGGATTGTGTTAAGTTTATAGTCCGTTGGTTTTGCCGTTGAACGCCAACCGACCTTCTGAGACATGACATGTATCAACTGTTGGTCTGGTCGCAGCAGAACACGGCTATTGGGTGTGAATGCGTTTTACACCTCAGGAACGAGTAGCGTTGTGGTCCTTAATCCGCTGATTGGGTCGCGTTATGAGTCCTTATCCCGACCTGAGTCGCGTTAGAGTCCTTCATCCCTGAACGACTCGCGTTATGGTCCTTACTCCTGGACGATGTCAGCGTATGAGGTCCTACTCCCTTGACCGAGTCAAGCGTTATGAGTCCTTAATCCTGCAAGTGAGTCAGCGTTAATGAGTCTTAATACCCTGAGAACGAGTAGCGTTTGGCCTTAATCCTTGCCGAGTCAGCGTTATGAGTCCTTAATCCCTGAAACGAGCAGCGTCATGAGTCCTTAATCCCTGAAACGAGTTGCGTCATGAGTCCTTAATCCCTGAAAACGACGTCGCGTTATGGTCCTTATCCCTGGACGGTCAGCGTTATGCGTCTT